CTTGAACTATTTATAGGCTTTTGTTAATTGGTTTTGTTGTTATTGTTATTTTATTTTATTTTGTTGCTTTGTTTTGCTCTCTTTTTTTGTGCATATTATTATCTCTGCAGGTCTATCTAGATAAGATAGGCAGGATAAACAATCTGGAGGAAAAAACAACGGACCAACCGTTCCAGGGGGACATGGGAGGGGGTGGGCAGGGGAAAGGAAGTGGGTGTTAACAAACCCAGGAACAAGGGAACCAGTGAGCCAAAATCGATGGCGAGGAGGGTGTAGGAGACCTGGAAGGGCTTGATCCAAGGCAATGTAACTGAGAGGAATTACTGAAACCCAAATTAAGGCTTACTGCAGTTTTATAGCTCCCTTTAGTAGTCCATCTTCCTACTCTCCAGATCTTCTTATCTTCCCTGTACATCAAAGGGTTAGGACTGTGCTACGGGGTAAATTTTTGTGTTCATCACAAGTAAGGAAGTCCTATTTCTTTCTTTTAAAAATATGTGCAGGGCTTCCAGTTTCCAAAGCTGAGAACTACGGTCTAGAGAATGGAAAAGAACCGTGGATGCTTGAGAGCAAAAGCCCTAAAAGCAGTTATTCAGGTGAGTCAAAAAGATGAGCAACTTCAAAAGTAATAGCCCAACCGGACTGAGAAGATGTGGTACCTTCAGTTGTTGGTAATGTTAGAAGTGCCAACATGCCTTTTTTTTTTTCCTACCTCCCATTTTGTGTTAAACTGAAATATTCCCAATATACCTAAATGTCTCCACAATCAAGGTTATAAAGATGCTAATATTTTGCCCTGTTTTATATTTTGCCTCTTTTTTTTTTCATTTCTTTAACTTTTTATTATAACAGAAAGTAATCATATCTACGAGTTTTCACAAGTTACATAATATGTAGCTAGGACATTACTGCCACTCTGGAAAGGGACCCTGGAACCCTAGTGAGTTGTGAGTTGGGCTGTTAACCACGCCAGCAGTTTGACTGTGCTGGCCCCTGCACAGGAGGGAGATGGGGCGCTCGGCTCTTGGGAAGGTGGTACTTTCAGAAACCCAAGGGAGCAGAGTCCTCCCCCATCTGATGGGGTCTCTGAGTCAGAATGGACTTCATGGCAATGGGTTTGGTTTGCAGGGGGCTTACCACCTACAGGAATTGAGTGTCCTCTTCCAATTACTCTTGCCCCAAGAGTAACCTGATTCTGACATCTAGCACATTAAATTATGTTGATTCCTTCAACTTTATAAAATGGAATCATGTTTTATATGTTCTTGCGTCCAGCTACTTTCACTAAACTTGAGCTACAAAACTTGCACTGTTAAATGTAGTATGTTGCTAGTTCGTTTTCATTGTTGTATAGTTTTCCATTATATTATACCAATTTATCTCTCCTCGGCAGGTGGGCATGTTGGTAGTACTCAGTAAGCTGTAGTTTGCCAACTCCTACTCTTGCTCACTTTTGACATTCAACATGCTTGTTTTGTGTGTGGTTTTTGTTTTCAAGAGAAACTCAAAATGTGGATTTCTATATGAAATCTTACTATTTTTAAATGTTGGTCACTGATTATGAAAATTCATATCAGCAGTGTGAACCAAATAAAATGTGTCTGCATCTAAGCTTTTGCTTGTTGATCACCTGTGTGTACTTTACACTTTCTCCTTAGTAGCCACATCCTTTCCTACAACCAAATTAACATCTCTATGCAGATTAATCCCAAATTATTTATTACCCTTGAGTTCACTCTGTACTGTTATTCTAAATATCCCTGTAACTATTTTGATGCCCCCATTTGTTTACATCAGAGGTACTTTAATAAAACGTAAAAGCAAGATAAAAAGCAAGATTGAATGCTAGATATGCCCCCACAAGATCCTCTTTCAATCATTGTTTAATGACTTTCACCCACTTTCTTATCAAAGTGTGCAAGCCAAAATCTATGAAGTTGCCTTCCAGTTTTGCTGATACCATATCCCTCTTGCTCCGTATCGAATTATTGTTTTATTTTCCTGCAAAAAGAAATTCTCTGTCATGGAGTCAATTCCCAAATCCACCATGTGAATAGCATACACTGTCATTTTCCCTCAAGTAAAAACAGTGGTCATGGAAGAAATCGTCTAGTTTGTGCGCTGAAAGGGATCACATTCAAAGGTCCTGAGTAGAATAGAATGAGAGAAAAATATGGAACAAAGCTCAAAATTATAAGGGACAAGGCTTACTAGTCGAATGTCCCCCCCCACCCGCTCAAGACCATGACACTTAGCAGTCTTTCAGGGGTAGCAGAACTCGCAGCAGAGGCCCGATTTCCAGTGAGACAATAGACAGCTTCTTCCGTAGAACAAAAGCACTCGTGAGATGAACACACCTTAGCGTAGTCAAGCTCCTGACACCAAAAGGGCAGCAGTCACCCAAGGACCGAGTTCAGAAGATAGATGACCAAAGAAACCCGGGGAGGAAGTAGGAGACGAGCTCCTGCATTGAGGGGACCACAGTGAACGAGGTGAGGCAAAGTCTGTGTGAAATACGGAATGTAGAACTGATGCTCTGCTCATTAAACCTAGACCCAATTCACAATAAAGTTTCGGAAGGTGCCGCAGTTTCCAAGTAGGGAGGATGAACAAAGAACAAAACAGACACGTACACACAGAGACAGTATAGGACTGCAGCACAAAATAGACACAGACAGACGGTACAAAACTGCCCTCCTGACGGACCACAGGGCTTTTTTTTATGTACTAAATCCTGGCAGTGCTCCCAGATAAGTTCGCTAGTCCCACGCTTGAATTGTTTAGAGCTTTGACAGAGTTTTGTATTTTAGCGCATACTGTTTTTGTTGATTGTGTTTAGGGAATACTGTATGCAGCTGTTCCCCAAGTTCCGTACTGTTTCAGTTTATGAGAACCAGCTAGGACAGACGTTTGCGCACTGTCCTAGACAGATACAGGACAGGAGACACGGTGCTCCCTTCATGGCTCCGTCAAGAGGGTTAATCAGCTCACAGCCCAAATGATTGCACAAGGCAACTCAGAGAAACTAATATTTCCAAAAGATCAATATCTTCATTGCAACACTGTGACAATTCCATGGATGTGGCTTTAAATTTCACATTGCACCCAACCCTTAACATGATTGCTTTATGAAATAGTTTTATCACAAAGAATATTGGTCAGGCTTCTACTCAAGGGTTGGCTTTTAATGTAATTAATAGTTTTACTGCTTCCCTAGATGTTTTTAAGTAAAACCAGCTATTTGTGTTGCTTAAACTGAGAATACTGGTATGTAACTGGTAAATTTGGTCTTGCCATCCTAATAAAATGGCAAGGCAACAGCACTTGTATCACCACTGCCCTTGTACCATCAAATGCAAATGTCAAGTCGGGGCAAAAGGTAAATGATATCTAAGTATTTCTTTGAAAATAGTTTTTAAACTTACAGACTGCTGGAGTACACACATCACACGCCGAACTATAAAATAGCGGGTTAGTGAAAAGAGGAATCCATTTGAAGATGGATTGACACGGTGGCTGCCTCGGTCTCAAACGTAACAGTGGTGAGGAAGGCAGACTGTTGTCTGCAGAGTCACTCTGAGTTGGCACAGAGTCATGGCACCTAACTACGATAACACATAAACACACCAATCTTATCACATTTACTTGTTACACGTAACAAGCACTTATATTTTCTACCAGAGCTTTATGGGCTTTATAAATACTCTCCCTTAATGCTCACTAAGGTAGTTTTTCTTCACGAGAGAGATACTGTTTATTACCCCTTCTTACAGATAAGGAAACGAGCTATGAAACAGGGCCACACTGATACTAAGTGTTCAAACGTAGGCATTCTGACTCCATTCTCAGTGTCCTCCATCACTATGGTAAGCTGCTTTTCTTGAATGCCCCTTCTCTCAGGACTTTAGAAAACATCAATGCCTCTACCTGGAACTCTCACCCAAACCCAGCCCCTTCTGTCCTGGATGATGCTCGTTTACCCTGGACTAGTCATCCAACGCAGGAGGCCTCTCTCAATGTCCCTCATTTCTTTCATAACACCCTTTATCTTTCATCCTCAATACTTGCCACAATTGTGAATTTATTTGCTAGTATTACATTATCTCACCCTCCAACATTACAGGGTCTGCCTCTGCTTCACTCCAGCACCTAGATGTTCAATAGCTATTTGATGAATGAATGTATGTGCAGATGTAAAGAAAGATAAATATATTTGGAATGAGGAACAACTCTAACTTTAGTTTCTTTTAAGTGTTTATTTAGTTATGTCATGGCATCATTTGTTGGAAAAACAGTTCTGTTTTGCTTTTGTTTTCTTAATATCACCTTGGTATTAATCCTTAAATATATTGACTTTTTTCTGAACTTATCCTTTCTCGTTGATCTGTTTATTCCTTTGTCAGACCACAATTTAAGTAATCTAACTTTATTAATAGTTTTAATGTCAATATAAAATTTCTAATACTTTATATTTAGAGATGCCTAGCTTCCATCCATGACTCCTGAACTCTGTTCTCACACTTACTATTTAGGTAGCTATGTACTGTGGAATGAATCCTAACCAGGGACAGTTTTAGATTTATCAGTAAGATCGCAGAGAGCAAGGCCCAACCACAAGAGTGATTGCCAAGGGTATCTTCGGGGCCAGTTAAGTTCAGGACAGAAAGGTCATCTCGGGCAGTTATGGTAACTACTCGACGTCACCATCCCATAGTCTCAGCACTGCCCTTCTGTTCTAGCTCAGGACCTCCTTGCCTAAGCCTCTGGTGCCTCTGATCTCAGCTCCCACCACTTCAGGGATTTTGAATGGGCTCCACTTCCGATGATCTTGTGACTTTTTTTTCTCTTCCTAGCCCTTATAGCCAGGGGAGTGGCAACTAAAGCTAACCAGTGTCCTCTGAGTGCTAACATGCCTTCTTGTATTGCATCCTCCCACGCAGTCATTTGTTGGAGTTACAGAACATAGAAGAGCCATATACTTTTCACAGAGGCACATTTTATTTGAAATGAACTTGTGCATGTATGAACTGGAACCCTAGTAGCAATACTTTTTGACATCTCTTTAAGGACTCGGAGGGGTTTTGATCAGTGACATGACATAGCATTAAACTAGTAATGGAATGCATATTTGAAAGTGAGTGAAATTAGAAAAATATAAAATTAAAAATCATAACTGTAATCGAAGGTGGTAACTTTCTGAGTATATTTTACAACAGTAGGTACTCAGAAGTTGCTCCCCCCTCTCTTGATCCTAGTGTACGTATTTCCTGCGTATCCGGTGGTATCTTTCTTCATCTACCTTCCTCCTGTCTTTCTGATCATCCTTCCCTTCCTAGCTGGTCTAGAAATGGTCTGTTCATCTCCTCTGCACATATTACACATTAGTCTTGCACCTGTTGCTTCTTTTTGCCTAGGGACTCCTTGAGGGCACGCTTTTCACTTTCCTTAACTCTTCCCTATTACAGAGCTGCCATTTTGTTGAGCACAGAAAACAAAGGAAATTTGCATTTCCAATTTCTTTCAGACTGGGAGGCTAGACCTGAGCGCAAAGAATCAACTTCAGTGCAAGATTTTTCAAAAGAAGAGTCATGCCAGGTTGCAACAATAGACAGACTAACGAGGAGTAGTGTTTACGACTCCAACTTGGAAACCACTCTTGAATGTGAACATTGGTTAGAGAATCAGCAAGGAAATCAGGAGAGACGTTTGAGAGAAATGATCACCCATAGGAATCCACTACCCAGGGAAAAAGCTCATGAACAAGATATATATTGGAAAAATTTCCGTCAGAAGTCTGCCCTTATCACTGAAGACAGAGTTCCCAAAGGATCATACACTTTTAATAGACTTGAAAAAAGATCGAATCGGAAATCAAACTTAATTAAAAGGCAGAGAAACTATAAAGAGAAAAAACCTCATAAATGCAATGATTGTGGTGAATTATTCACTTACCATTCAGTACTTATTCGGCACCAGAGAGTTCATACTGGAGAGAAACCTTATACTTGCAATGAATGTGGGAAATCTTTTAGCCACCGAGCTAATTTAACTAAACACCAGAGAACTCATACCAGAATTCTCTTTGAGTGCAGTGACTGTAAGAAAACTTTTATAGAAAGCTCATCCCTTGCTATACATCAGCGAATTCATATTGGAGAGAGACCTTATGAATGCAGTGAGTGTGGAAAAGGCTTTAATCGAAGTACCCATCTTGTTCAGCATCAGTTAATCCATACTGGAGTGAAACCTTATGAATGTAATGAATGTGATAAGGCTTTCATTCATTCATCAGCACTCATCAAACATCAAAGAACTCATACTGGGGAGAAACCCTATAAATGTCAAGAATGTGGGAAAGCATTTAGCCATTGTTCATCTCTTACTAAACACCAGAGAATTCATACTGGAGAAAAGCCCTATGAGTGCAATGAGTGTGGGAAAACCTTCAGTCAGAGCACACATCTTGTTCAGCATCAGCGAATTCACACTGGAGAAAAACCTTATGAGTGTAATGAATGTGGAAAGACCTTCAGTCGGAGTTCAAATTTTGCTAAACATCAAAGAATCCATATTGGAAAGAAGCCCTACAAATGCAATGAATGTGGAAAAGCCTTTATTCATTCTTCAGCTCTTATTCAACACCAGAGAACACATACTGGGGAGAAGCCCTATAGATGTAGTGGATGTGGGAAAAGCTTTAAGTGCAGTTCTTCTCTCATCAGACATCAAAGAATTCACGCTGAAGAGCAACCCTGAGAAGACACTGAATGTGAAGAAGTGTAAGTCAGTCGTACCATTGTGTTAAATATGAGGGGCTTCAAAATTCATGGAAAATGGAATTAAAAGAGTGGAATTTTCTCACAAGCTTTTTTGAAGCCCCATCTTCCCTGAGTGTGTAGTTGAGAATAATAAAATACTACTTTAGGGCCATTTCTGTATACATCTAGTTTCATTTGCATAATACATAGTTTTGAGCCAGAGACAAATGTTCCTTGTAATCATTGACTATGTATGGAGCCCCTAAGTGTTGGTCTGCCAACTTCGAGGTTAGTAGTTCGAACCCACTAGAAGTGCTTCATGAGAAAGATGAAGTTGTCTACTCCTATGAAGATTTACCATCTCAGAAAACCCTAAAGAGCATTTCTACTCTGTCGTTATTGGGTTAATATGAGCTGGAATTAACTCAGTGGCAGTTGGTTTTGGGTTTTGCAGCCAGGGATCTCAAATTTTAATCCCTACCCCCAAATAACCATTTGTATAACTCAAAATACCTGGGAGTGGGGAGTGATATCATTGTGATGCCACATTTCCCCTCTCATAGCAAAGCCATGTCCTGTCACAGCATCTAACTTTGTAAGGACATTTTCATTTAGTATGTTAGGCTGAAGACTCCTGTTCTTTCTATCAGGAAGACTCAAGAGTTGTTCCTATTACAATCCAAAATAGGAATCCAGTTATGCAGATAGTATTGTTTCTCCAGGGAGTAACATTTTAAAAATATATTTGACATAAAACATAAGAGTTGGAAGCTACTTAGTTATCTCCACCCACCAAAGCTGCTGTCTAATATGATGGGTATAACTGGAATATATTTAATAGAAAATTCTAAATTATATTGATAAGCTTATATTGGTTACAGCTTTAGATAATAAATATCCCTTTGCTGTATAGATCTTTTGTTTTCCATTTCTCTAAGAGTTACTCTGAAATAAGTACTGGGTCATAAACTTAATTATGATTTAGTCCATCTGATCCTTACAGTTGAATGAATCCTTGGTTTTCTATGATAACAATAACAGGGAGACATGGTTGTGCTTTACTATTCAACCTTCTATAAACTTTGCTTTGTCACTTTCAGAAAAAACCTACGAATGTAGAATGTTAATAGGTTTAATATTATATTTAGGATCCCTTCAAGAAGAAGAACTGGAGCATCTATAAGACCCCACATGCTTTCTGTTTGTCACATGTGGAGAACAACTCATGTGTCAGAGACTCGTTTGAGCATAAGCAGCTTCCCTCCATGAAGAAGACATTGCCATTTGGCCACGTTTACCAGCATTTTTGTTGTTGCTGTTCTGGTTTTAAATCGGTTGGGCTTTGAGATATCCCAAGCCCTAAACAAAGTTATAAAAAGAGTGAAACACAGTTTTACACTAATGAACACGCGAACACACACACACAGAGCCCTGGTATCTCTGTTGGGTAAGCATTGAACTGCTATCCAAAAGGTCATTTCAAACCCATGTGCTACATTTTGGAAGAAAGATGAGGCTGTCTACTCCTGTAAAGATAGACTTAGGTGACCGAAGACCCGGGGTGAGTCTGAGACAAAAACAAAACTTTAAGTATGTAATAGAACACTATACAAGTGTCAGATTTTTCTTTTCTTTTACCTTCTTGTTTGTGTGCAAAGAACGCTACAGTAAATGACCGGGAACAGTTATCACAGGTGCCTTCTTCCTGCTCGCCTGAAGCCGTACCCTTCATGACTATCCAGCCACCAGCCCATACTCCTGCTTTCTCCACAGACCCCTTTACCTGTTAAAATTACTCCTTAGTAGACCTCTGTTACACTACTGAGGAAAAATAGCAGGTTGAATTTAAAGAAGTTGTGGCAGTGGGAAGCGTTAGAGGTAGGCTCATTAAGAATGGAGAGTATAGCTCCATCAGTGATTGAAATAAAACAAACGGTATGTAAAAAAGGAAAGATAAAGCAGCACTGACGAACTGTAGCCTGCACCTATTGTCCACATCAAATCTGTCACTTCATTCTGTTAAGTTTTACTGGAGCTCATCATTTACAGTTTGTCTCTGACTGCTTTTTAATGTAACAAGAGAGTTGAGTAGTTGTAACAGAGATCACATATCCCCAAAAGCCTAAAACATTTACTATTTGGGCTCTTTAAAGAAAATGCCTGCCAATCCCAAGGCTAGAGCATCCATGTGAGGAGTTGGGTAGGGGAGTTAGTCACTCCAAATTTGGATGGAAAACAAAAGCTTAAATGACAGTGATCTTATCCTTCACTAGGGTCTAAAGACATTATAGTTACCTTCATGGGCCAGTATCAGAGCAAGTCAAAGTAATACCTTCGGTAGTTCTAGTAGACTGCCCTTCCAGTAGGGTTTTCACCCCGTAAGCCTACAGAAGTCTCTTCTGGCATATATGGATTAGCGAGCAACATTTTTAAAGATGGAAAATGCTCTTAAACTATATTGCTGAAGCTGTTGGGTGAATTTTACATTATTAAAACTTTATCAGTGCGCCAAATTCTTAAGTACCTATATAGTCAAGTATAAGCCGACCCGAATATCAGCCGAGGCACTTAATTTTACCACAAACACTGCATTAAAAATATGCTGGAAAATTCAGCTTATACACAAGTATATATGGTACTTCATGCAAAGAAATTTGCCACTTGGCCCAATTTTTACTAATGAAATTAACAAAGCCAACACAGGTTATTTAAAGCTGGCTTTGAATTGTCATCTTCACTTAGGAACTATGTGATCTTGAAAGGCTGCCTATCCCCAAGCACTTGTTTCTTCACCTAAATAAATCACTCAAGTTTGTGCTGAGGATTAAATAGTGGAGTAGAAATTCCCAAAGAATGAGTGCATTTTTCATACGTTTTATTTACTCATTTCATACGTTTTATTTACTCATTACTCATCACTGACCATCCTGTTTTCTTGGCTCATCAGAAAGAATCCACTTCTTCCTGTTCTAGTTTCTATTTGGTGCTGTTCCATAGATAGTCCTATTGAGACCTCAAGGGTCTTATTTATGTCTGAGCATCACATACCCATGAACTATCTAATGGTTCCTTAGGTCAAGTTTTTCTATTCAACTGCCATTTAAGTCATATGAAAAAACTTGCTCTAAGATAAGTGGGAATTCTGAGCCCTTGCCTTTTAAGTATTTGTCATTTTTATGTTTCATGTTCAATCTGACTATATGTTTGTATTTTGATAAGAATTTTTGGAGTTTTACTCTGCATTTCAAATGTTTTAAACTAAATTAAATTTGTGTATCAATTGATCTGTCAATAAAGACTTTCTATATTGCCAAAAACTTGTCAATTTCTTATATGTTCTCTTATCCTCACCTTCTTCTGAATTGTTCCTCCTTTTTTAACAAGCTCACTGCTTTGTAAGGCTCTTCTGTTGTTTTTTGAGTTGCTGTTATCAATTTTATCCCATGTAGATAGTTCTTAAAACAGAATGCTCATGGCAGATTTTTTTATTTTATCTTTTTACTAGCTAGCACAAACTATTAGATTAAGATACCTTTAGGGGATATATTTTTTTTAAGGTTTATTTCAGGTCAATAATTTCAGAGATTCATCCAAGCCTCTATAGCTTCAGAAAGTTGTGTCCATGAAAGTGAAATTCTGTTTTGCATTTTCTTTTTCATCAGGATTTCTTTTATGAAATCTTTGACCAAAATGCACATAGTGGGAGACAAGCACCATCCAGTTCTGGTCTCATGACAAAGGGGGCAATTGTTCATTAGGCAAGTAGTCACACCTTCAGTATCATACTATCCCTGCCTCGCCTTCCTCTGTTGATCGAGAGAAATAGAAAACTTTGGTCCTGTGATCTCCCAATTGATTGGCCTCATAATGAGTTTGCAGCTTCTGTTCCACCTCCTAATGTAGGTCTTACAAGCTTGCACTGGGCCAGCCCCATTTTAATTGTTCATCTGAATGTCTTCTGGAAAATGTGATGGGGATTTCCCTCAGCAGTTCACAAGGTCAGGGGAGTAGAGGGAAGTAGTTAAATAGGCATTTTTAGTAAGTGGTGCATAGTCTTGAAGCCAACTATAAGCATCTTTCAGAGGAGACACTGAGGGACAGCTAGAGGGAGAAAAATGTCAGACTTGAAGGTAATCAAGCGGCCATCAAGCTTAGAAGCAACAAAGCCCACATGGAAGAAGCACACCAGCCTATGCAACCACGAGGTGTC